GAATGCATCAGGCATACAGGTGGTGCTGCTCAGGAAGGTGATCCATCCTTGGTGTCTTCTGCTGTTTCAGCTATTGTTGGTAATCTGGGTTCAACTGTGTCTAAGATGGCTGATTTTATAGCTGGAGGATGTTCGAATTTTCCATCCGCTTCTGGTTCATTGGACTTTGTCAGGCGCATTTTATGCATTCATATTACCTGCCTATGCCTACTCAAGGAAGCTCTAGGAGAACGTCAAAGCCGTGTATTTGAGATTGCTCTTGCAACGGAGGCCTTTTCTGCACTTGCTGGAGTATATTCTCCTGGGAAGCCATCAAGATCTCAGTTTCAATTATTAGCTGATTCCCATGAATCTAATGCTCATGTCTTTGGTGATAGCACCAAAGTAATAGGTAGAGCCACAAAAATTGCAGCAGCTATTTCTGCACTTGTCATTGGGGCAGTTATTCAGGGGGTTTGTAGTCTGGAACGGCTGGTAACACTCTTTAGGTTAAAAGAAGGATTAGATTTTATTCAGTTTGTTAGAACTACTAGGTCAAATGCAAATGGCAACACTCGTACAATGGGAATGCATAAGATTGAAAGTTCCATAGAGGATTATGTACATTGGTTTAGGTTGCTTGTTGGAAATTGCAGAACTGTGTTTGATGGGTTGATTGTGGAGCTACTAGGTGAGCCGTCTATTGTGGCACTTTTTAGAATGCAACGGTTGCTTCCACTTAGCTTGGTCCTATCTCCTGCCTATTCAATATTCTCATTTGTTGTATGGCGCCCTTTTATCCAGAATGCTGCTTTTACTGCTCGTGAAGATGTGAATCAACTGTGTCAATCTTTAACAATCGCAATTGGTGATATTGTAAGACATTTGCCTTTTCGAGATGTTTGTTTAAGGGATAGTCAGGGTTTCTATAACCATTTGATGAACGATACAAGTGATGTAGAATTTGCTGCTATACTGGAGTTGAATGATATTCCCTTGAAGCCCATGGCCTTTGTTCCTCTACGTGCAAGGCTATTCTTGAATACTATTATTGATTGTAAGTTGCCAAGTTCTGTGTACAATCAAGATGATGGGAGTAGGATTTCGGGAGTTGGTGATAGTAAAGGTCATTATTCTGAGAGAAAAATGAAGTTGCTGGACAGGCTTGTATATGTTTTGGATACCTTACAACCTGCAAAATTTCATTGGCAGTGGGTGGAACTTAGGCTTCTTTTGAATGAACAAGCCCTTATCGAGAAACTTGAGACACTTGAGACACGAGATCTGTCCTTAGCTGATGCTGTTCGTTTGTCGTCACCAAGTCCTGAAAAAGTAGCTGCTTCTGATAATGAGAAGAATTTTATTGAGATTATTCTTACAAGGTTGTTGGTCAGGCCTGATGCTGCACCTCTTTTCTCAGATGTGATTCATCTTTTTGGCAGGTCTCTTGAAGATTCAATGTTGTTGCAAGCCAAATGGTTTCTTGGAGGTCAAGATGTCCTATTTGGAAGGAAATCAATACGACAGAGACTAACTAATATTGCCGAGAGTAAAGGTCTATCGACTAAAACCATGTTTTGGAAGCCTTGGGGTTGGTGTATTTCTGGCTCGGATTCTTCTTATCTTGAAGAAGGAGAGGTTGTTGAAGAAGGCACAGATTCTAGAAAGTATAGCCAAAAGTCTGTTGAAATGCTCGACAACGAAGTCTTGCATTCCAGTCAGCAACATGTGACCGAGAGGGCTCTTATTGAATTAGTTCTTCCATGCATAGATCAGAGTTCTGAAGAATCACGCAACACCTTTGCTAATGATTTAATCAAGCAGTTGAATAATATTGAGCAACAAATAAATGCAGTTACTTCAGGGTCAAGTAAACAAACAGGACTTGTGCCCTCAGGGATAGAGGGCCCTACGAGCAAAGGAAGTAATCGCAAAATGAAAGGAGGCAGTCCTGGATTAGCTAGACGTTCAACAGGCACAACAGATTCTCCTCTACCCTCACCTGCAGCTTTGCGAGCATCAATGTCGTTGCGTTTACAATTAATATTGAGGTTACTTCCGGTCATCCTCAAAGATAGGTAAATTTAGGAGTAATATTGGGATTAATCCCTGCTATACTAACTATTTTGATAATGCCATTTCTTTTTTATGCCTTATTTTGTTAACACTACATATTGTTTGTATTTCTCAACTCACTGTCTATAAATGCTTTTCTTGCCGCTGCTTCATTATGGTTTTTCATGGTTCACTAGAGTCTGCAGCACTGATTACATTCTGAATTTTCCAGCAGTCAAGTTCTAGTTTTTCTAAAAAAAAAAAAATCCATTTGCAGGGAGCCATCAGGACGGAACATGAGGCATATGCTTGCCTCTGTCATCCTTCGTCTTCTTGGCAGTCGAATAGTTCACGAGGATGCAAACCTTACCTTTTGTCCCACCCATAGTTCGATGGTAAAGAAGGAAGTAGAGTCATCTTCCGAAGCGTCACTTGCTATATTTGCAGACCTACCAGGTGAAAGTCTTTTTGGTAGTATGTTATTGATTCTACATGGGCTATTGAGCAGTTGTCAGCCAAGTTGGCTAGGTTTGAAAACTGCTGCTAAGTCGACCAATGAAACAAGCAAGGACTCTACTGCTCTTGTTCGTGAACTGGCTGAAAGTTTACAGGTTAGCCATCAACCTTAGTCTTCACATTTTCACAAATAACTTTTTACTCTCATAACAGAAACAGAAAAAGCATAGGGTGAAAGGTAGCAATAATTACACTATACTCTTCAAATATTCAATTTTTTTTATCCATTATATTGAACCACTTGTTTTTTCGTACATCGTCTCTAACATTTCTGGAAGGAGGGCCAGATATTTGTTTTAGTCACCATGTGAGAATATTATCAGCTTAGTAGGTTGCTGTATCGATATGCTAGATCATTCTTTTGACCCTTGGAATGGAAGATGGGACAAAATGTTTCTTTTACAGAGGAAACTCTTGCATTTTGTTTCTGTTGACAGAGTGAAAAAGGGCACGATATCGTAGTTGTCTACTAGCCCCACAATATTGATAACTAGCATTAGCTGTTTCAATGTCACTAGATGTGCACGCCGGTAATTCAACTTAATATAGAATTAAACGTCATATTGATAAACGATCGACACTAACAGTGCAAATTCCGATCTTTGTCGGATTCTAAAAGAGTAATACTCTGATCCTGTACCAAAGCAAAATATTATATGGATGTTTCATTTCAATCTGGTACTTGAAGGAAATATAATATCGTCCTTACGAGTTGTTTTGAATTAATTTGTTGACAGAATGAATTGCACCACATGCAACTACCTGATATGATTAGATGGCGCATCCAAGCTGCAATGCCCATTCCACTTCCTTCTGCTCGGTGCCTTTTATCTTACCAGCCACCAACAATATCCCCTTCTGCCCTTTCTCCATTTCAATCCAGAAGTTCCACACCTGGACTTGGTTCTGGAAATAGTAGCATGCCTCAAGGGAGCAAAGTAGCGTCACCAAGGGTTGTGCCTAATGCTCCTGGGAAGTCGAAACATTTGCCACCGCAGCAGGATTATGATACAGAAATTGACCCTTGGTTGCTTCTAGAAGATGGTGCTGGATCAAGTCAATCTTCCAGCAACGCTGCTGTAATTGGTGCTGGAGAACATGCGAATTTCCGAGCATCTTACTGGCTTAAAGGGGCTGTGCGGGTGAGACGGACAGATTTGACGTATATTGGCGCAATGGATGATGACAGCTGATCATTTATTCACTGATCTTTCTATTTTATCTGGAGCTAGCAATCCCCTCAGCAGGTAAATTCTCGCATCCTGAAATTGCCCAAAAATCAGATCAAGATGGTAATCTTGAGCTCGTTTGAAGATGAAAAAGATATCTGTTGTGACCGGGAAAATTTTTTATGGGGTGGGTGACCATCGTGGAGGTAATCTGAAAGATGATGTTCACACACATCCATCCTACAGGGTGGTGGCCTAGCTCGGATTCTAACCCTTCAATTGTCCTGCGTTCGGAACTGCAGGGTGCGGTTCGGAGGTTTGTTGTATATATAGGGATTAATTGTTTCACTTCACTGATTAATCCAAATGGAAAAAAATCATAATATGATCTGTTAGTTGCATGCCCATTACTCTCCCTCCCTCCAGATAAGCTTTGCAGCTGTTTATTTTGTAGAGGTATGTTTGAAATTCATTTCTTGCATTTTGTGAACTAGACAGCCATTCTTTACTTGGTTATATTAACTGTTGGAATTGGAATTGGAATTGGAATTGGAATTGGAATTGAGAGATACTTCCTACTGTCGTATGCTTCGAAGGCAGATTAGCAATACCACCACCCCGGGATTTCGACAACATTTTTTCAGTTTGCGTTAAGCATCTGCTCTGTTGAGTTCTTAGAGGGCTTAGAAATTAAAGTATCAATCAGGAAATTGCAGTTTGGCTTATGCGCTTGCTTTCTGTGTATATGCATTCATAGGCTGTAGCCCAAGTAATTTGGTGTTTTCTTATTTTTTTTGTCTAAATTGATGTTCAGTGAACCTTTGAGAATTGTCTTTCTGATGATTAGATATCAGCTCCCATTTCCTTTGACACAGCTGCTGATACAGTGTTCTCATCTCTCGATTGAGTATTGGCTGCTGTAAGATCAATTATTGGTATTTTCTTCATCTTCTAATCATATAGTTGCAAATTCACACATATGAGTGAAATCTTATTAGAACTGTCCATATCCATCCTTCGGAACCATATCACATCTCGGATTTGATGTCTGATGAAATAGGATGAATTGAAGCGGGGTTTAAATAGTTTGTAGTTTAACAGCTGATTTGTTTGCATCATTCTTTGATGAAGGGAGGAATTTTTCAATCATCCAATTATAACAATGAGCAAAATTTTGTCCACAAAAATTCAAACTTTTGGAATGATATATTCTATTCTAACGGTTGTTTGTTAATATGAATCGTTCAAGGCTCGACATTGATAGTTGACCTGTGACTGCTTAAATAAATTTATGGTACTTTCAATATGATGTATCAAATGTAATAACCGTTACATAAGAAATGAAGATAAAAATCTGTTGTTTTTATACTAAAAATAACAGGAAGGAAAATCACATGGAAAATGAAAAAAAAAAAAAAAACCTAAACAGATGTGTATTTTGCTTTCAATCACTTTGAAGAATTTTGGGGAACGCTGCACGCCTCTCCTATTCTTGACCTTATTGAAGGAGGTAAAGTAGTTCTGCTCGGCTCTGTTTTAGCTAAACTAGTTTTGTTTTATTCTCTTATTGAACTCGAGTCCCACTATTCTTGAACAAGGTAAATAGGCTTTGCTTCTGTCCCTATTGATCTCTTTCTCGTTCTTGTTCTCTTTGTTCTTGTTCGTTTTTCTTTATTTTATTTTGATGAATTATACTTCTTTCCCGGGATTTTAGGATGCATAACTTTGCACAAATGTTCTTGGCTGCTTCTCATCTGTGCTTCCTTCAGTATCATATCTTGAAAGAAGTGAAGAGACTGCAGTGACTTACAAGAATAACCATTGTAATGGATTCAAGGAAATTTTCTATATGCATCTTATTTTGGTGAAGAATTTGAATCCTATATTCATTTCTCATTTGTAAGTATCGTCCTCGATCACCGATCACCGCGCATTATATGCTGGGGAACCTAAAACATTAATTGATACTTTCTTAGAACTCCACAACAGTTGTACAATCTAAAGAACAAATCATGTTCAAGTAAAGTCGTTGTTAATTGATATTTTCAAGCCAATAGAAACAGGAGTGGAAGGTAGAAGCTTCAAATGAATAACAAGCCTATAAGAGAAGAGAGTACCAAGTTGATGAATAACAAGCCTACAAGCGGAGAGTACCAAGTCGATTGGCGCGTCTGTTGTTTATGGCATTGACGAGAATCGCTTTGAGAATTCCGCCCTCCATGAATCACGAATGGAAAGTTCGAACCTTCAAGAAGCTTTTCTGATGCTCTTCTACATCCTCGAGTATTTTTCGTCCACCATAAATAGATAGGTTATGAAATGGAAGTGTTTCAAGGAAATAAGAACTACCAAGACCATAACTTCCTTTCGAATTCAAGACAAACTCAAAACATTTAGTGGAATCCAATGATAATCAATAACATGCATATGTTGAAGTTACTATATCAGCCGTGTGAGTTACCTGACAAAATTTGCCTGCTCCCATCAGTTATGGGACTAGGATTCATTGTTGCAACCTTCCCATTTTCACGAAGACTTTCCACTGCCTTGAAAAAGCGAAGAGGAGAGGGAAAAGAAGCTTAGCGAGCTTTTTGCTGGCCGATCGATCACTTCATAAGCCCTTTAGCGCGCAAGAACAAGGGTTGAGACCTCGAACTTCCCAGTGATCTTTGCTTTCAATAAAGCGAACCAGGGTCGAGCAACCCAAACACCCATCCGCATCTTCCCATCGGTTTTACTCAGCACAAAAGTTGTGCAACATTTGCATGAAAGTCAGATTTGTTTGGTTCTAAAAGCATTGAGCTGTTGAACAATAGAATCAGCGATGTCAGAGAACCCATGAGTTAATTTACAACCAGCAAAAAGAGCACCCCAGATCCTTGTATCAGGTTCTACTGCCATTTTCTTCACAAATTCAACAATTTTTCCTTGCCTAGCAAGCAACTCCACCATACAAGCATAATGTGCCACTGTTGGAGTAATGTTATACTCGTCAATCATTGAATTAAACCACATCCAACCTGCCTTTTCCAAACCACATTGAGCACAAGCCGATAAAAGAGAAACGAAGAGCGTCCCATTCGGCTTCAAACCATAACTTAACATGTCCGAAAATGTATTGAGTGCCTCCTTCCCATAGCCATTCATACCGTACCCTTTAATCATTGTACTCCAACAAACTAAATCCTTTGTCAAAATCTCATAAAAAACATGTTCTCCTAGCTTTACCCTTCTAAGTATGCAGTAAAAATCAACCAAAGCAGACATCAAACGTGTATTAGACGAGTAACCAGATTTCGTTATATGAGCATGTATACTTTCTCCCAGTTCCTGAGCATCCAATGAAGAACAGGCATTCACTAGACTTCCAAAAGTTATAGCATTAGGCCTTTCATTAGTTGATTGCATCATTTTAAATGTCTGGATGGCACTAAGTGGTTCTTCACCATGAGAGTATGCTGAGATCATTGCGCTCCATGCAATGATATCTTTGTCAACAAGCTCATCAAATGTAAGTTTGGCCAACCCCAATTCACCAAATTTAGCATACATTTGGAGCAGTTCAGTTCCAACTGAAATAAAACAGAGAAAACCACCTTTCAGCGCATAACAATGAACAGCCAAGCCAAGTACAAGTTCATCAACTAATAACACAGCAGCTATAAAGTCCAGCATCATCGTTTCGCCCAATTCGAATCCAAAAGACCGCATCCTTGTGAAAATTTTAAAGGCTTTACTAGGACAATTGTTCTGGATACACGCATGAGTTACAGTTCTCCATGACACCATGTCCTTTTTCCTCATCGTTTTCAAAACTCTAATTGATGCCTCAAGATTTCTACATTTTGAATACATATCCATGAGTGAGTTCTGAATGTTAACTATAGAATAAAAATCCCTTCTCATTGAAAACGCATGAATCTCTTTACCCAAAGATAGAGCACCAAAATCAGCACAAGCAGGTAGAATGCTTACAATGCTTACATGGTTTGGACGAACACCTTGATATTGCATCTCTCTGAAAAGATGAAATGCTTCACTACACTGGCCATGTTTCACGCATGCCGAGATCACAGCACTCCACAAAACGACATCCTTATAAGGTATCTGATAAAACAACTTCCAAACGATCCCAATATCACGCATTGAATAAAACCCAAGAAGAGCCGTTGAAACTGCCACTTCTGATTCAAACCCCATTTTGATCACTCCTCCATGCATCACCTCAATCGTTGATTCCCAGCTTAATGCGTCAATCGCTCTTAATACGCTCAGCATTGTCACATAATTTGGCCTGTGCCCATTTGCGAACATCATCTTGAAGAAGCCAAAAGCCGAGTCCGGCTGGCCTGTTCTTACCAAATTGGTGATTTTAGACGTCCAAGATATTACATCCTCTTGTTTTGCGAAGAATCCAACTGGGTCTTCGTAATATGCTTGTTTTTTGGCTGAAGTATCATCGATCACAGAACCTATCGTGTAATTTTTTCTTTGGGGACTTTTGACAAACAGGTTGCGTGCACATCTTGAAAAGCACAGCATATATTACATGCGAAGAGGGACAAATTCGAGATATCTGTTCTGTTAACAGCGGATTGCGGATTCTAGCAAGTGAATGAAAGGCTCAGCGGAATCCAAGAGAGCTAGAATAAGAGAGGAGACTCGCTTGGAGCATTCGAACAATTCTACCGCTTCCATTTCCATCCATTTTTTAACCTAATTTTTCAAATTTATTGAATTATTTAACTAAACTTTTTAAAAGGAAAATGATAATAAAACCACAAATTTTAATTTATGAATTTTTGCAATTAAATTAAATTTATATATGGATCAAATTTAATTTTGTTTAAACTTTTTTAATTAAAATTAGGTATGAACTAATAGAAAATAAAAAAGTTATTTTTTTCTCATGAAAATATTGGAAACTTTTGTTATTAATTTAATTAGAGACATTTTTTTTCGAAAATATTACGATTTAATAATGGTGAAAATTTAATTAGAAGACTTTAATTATGACGTATTATAATATTACAATCTAATTTATTTATTATTAATAAATGCATAACGAACTAAATAAAATACTGGGCACGCGCCGTGGCCTGCGCCGATTTGTAGCCACCCATCCCACCATTTCAAAATGATTTTAAAATATATTTTACTTATTTTATTTTTATAATTATTTTTCAATAATTTTTATTATTTGGAAATTAAATATTTAAAAGTAAGTACATAAATGTTTTACTAATAACATTTTATATTTATTAAAAATAAAAATTTAAATAAATGATAATATCAACCAAAACCAACTTAATCTAAGTTGGATTAAAAAAATTAGTGCGAGGTTTAATAAATTAGAGATTTTTTCTTTCTTTCTTTTTTTTTTTTTTTTTTGTAAAATTTATAATTTTTTTAATTCGATAAATATAAAATATTAGGATTTGAATTTCCAAAAACTCAACCCGAATTTATTTTGATTGATAATTAAACATAAAAATAAGATTTCATTTTTTTTAATTTAACCTATAATTTATATATATATATATATATAGAAAAAGTTCGTGCGAATCACATTTAGGATTTGAATGGCTCACATTTCAACCTCATAATTGACGTACTAAAAAAAGAAGGGATTGAATTGTTGACTACGATTGAACCGACCGAAGAGATTGAAATTGTTTATTCTACTTCAAATTTGTCTTTGAATCAAATAAAAATTAATAAGATCATGATGAGATAGCGGGAGGAAATTACGTAATTTCGTTGCCAGTTGATCCGTCTATTTTCCTCGCTCTAACTGGTTCGGTTATCATTCACCACAATTCAACATTGTTCCAAGATTTGTTGCCGTTTGGAGCACCATGGACTTCGAATCAGGTGCGCTGGATCGTAGTTAGACTAGACAATCATTTCCTTTTTGTTTTCTGCAATTTTGTTCACCGTCGCGCGTGATTTCGATGATCTTAATTTGATTTTGCAGTGGTTGAGTTTCTTGGATGTGTTCCGCTGCTTCAGAGGCTGCCTGGCTCATCTCTAAAGGCTATTGCTGAAGTGATTGTCGTTAAGCACTACGGTAAGTTTCATTTTCCATAATTTCTTCGTAACTTTTGGTCCATCGTAGTATGCAATCACCTGATGATATCCAGTAAAATTCTGCTCCTCCACTCGATGGAATGAGTATGTAGTGACCGATGTGCGATTTAATTTTATGATGTTCGTTTCGTTTCCTAGCTGATGTCAATTGTGGGAAACAATCGAACTGGAAGTAGTGTTGATAGTAGTTTAAAAGATAAAATTGATCTTTATCTCAAAACTTTGAGGTTTTTTGGAGTTTATGGCGGTTACATTAGAGAAGAAATTGGAGTTCTGGCTATTGTAACTTCAGATTTATTAGCCAACGTAGCAGTCGTTATATCACAGTTTCAATTTGACAAGCTTTTTTCAGAGAGGGGAGACTATGTTCTTCGCGAGGGTGAAACAGGAGCTGGAATCTATTTTATATGGGAGGGAGAGGTAATCTTCTTCGGAAATTTGTAGTTCTTGGAAGTTTAGTTGGTCTTGAAAAAGCTTCTCTTATGATTTGCAGGCTGAAATACTTGGTTCCGATGATGGAGATGAAGAAAATCGTCCGGAATTTCAATTGAAGCGTTATGACTATTTTGGTTATGGTAAATTTTTTCTCAGTATTTTTGACGTATAGTGTGAGATCCCACATCGGTTGGAGAGGAGAACGAAGCATTCTTTACAAGGGTGTGGAAACTCCCTAGCAAACGCGTTTTAAAAACCTTGAGAGGATGCCCGAAAGGGAAAGCTCAAAGAGGATAATATCTGCTAGCGGTGGGCTTGGCCGTTACATATAGTATTTCAGATCAACTACTGTCCTGATGTCAAATTTGTTAAACACGAAGTATCCTTTCTACTTCTGCGTTAAACGCATCTTAGCGTCCACGCCTTTCCATCTAGGAATCATTTGTTGAACTTCAAAGCATTTACAACCTAGTACTGGATCATATCAGATTATGTTTTAACATTTCACAGTTTCATGAACTTCTCCTTTTGGTTCTCCCACTAGATTGTTCCCTTGTCTTCGTTCTTCGCCATGTACTCATCTCGATATAACAAGCGTGTAGAATTTTGGTGTCACTCTTTATATTGCCATCTTGAGCTGATAAAAACTGATTCTGGATTTTACATGCTCAATGCTAGTCTCGTTCTGATTCTTGAAATTGAATGAAACTGCTTTTGTAGGAACCTCATCAACTATACAAGAAGCTGATATAGTTTCTTTGTCTAAAGTAGGTCGTTCAGGCATTCCATTTTTTCTTTTACAAACAAAATTCCTCTTCCTTGAGGTTATGCTATCGACACGCTTTACTTACACGTGTGCTTCTTATTGTGGCAGCTGACATGTTTGCTCCTACCTCGGGAACATTATCCATTACTAAATCCAATGTCAATCTGGAATGCTCATGGAACTCCTGATACATGTGCACTTGTTGAGAAAATATTGCACCTAGAGCCTCTGGAAGTATGTTTTTCTTGAATACGATTTTACTTTTCGCAAGTAGTGCCCACATTCCCTACTCCCATGAAGCTCATGATCTCCTTTCTCTAGCACTTTTCATTGGAACAAAAGATGAAGGAATTTCAAACTTCTATAGTTTTCTTATGTTCTAGGATAAGTGATATCTCAAATTCTTTTAATTTTACACAATCAATTTCTCTGTTTTTATTGTTTTTAAAATATATTCGGTTTTCATAACTAGTCAGTTCTAAAAATCTTCATGGGAATTATTGTTTCATAGGAACTAATTCTTTTATCTATTTTAAAATTTGGCTGAAATAGTTTTGTAATTTTTGTTCTATTTTTGAAAAATAAAGTTTATTTCTTTAAACTTTAAATAATATTTAATTAAAATCACTTCATATTATTTTCAATTCATTATTCATTTTGAATGTTTCTGAAAAATCAAAGTGGTTTTATTTTAATATATCATCTATCTTTTTAGGATATTACATTATTGCACAAACAAATATATTCCAAGAACATCAATGAATCTCGTCCTAAGTAAACAGAGAATGAGAGAATTGTATTGTTCCTCTTGAAGCATAGAGCTATATTAAGTGAAATGAAAATTGAGAGATTCTGTGATTGACTCCCGTTGAAACATAGAACTACATTAAAGTTGGTTTTATCTTTCAGAGATGATATTCTTTTCTTTGATTATGTAATGCTGCTAAAATTATTGCTTCTATTTCTTTCTATATATATATATATTTTTTTTTTGGGATTCTCTGTAGGCAGATATATTCCGGGGGATTACTTTACCCGATGCTCCAAAATTTGGAAAGGTTTTTGGTGGACAGCTAGTTGGTCAGGTATGTTTTTTTTTTTCCTTTCCGGGGGGGGGCGCATTCTTTTTAGTTCTTCTTCCACAATTGTCAAAGAAGCAGTATCTGTATTTTTTTCATTGGTATTGTATAATAGAATTCAAAATATAGGGCGCTGGATATCTTTGTTACTTAAATCTAGTATTGGTATTTTGGGATTTCGTTACAGTTGACTAGTGAATTAATCTCAAGTGCAGTTCAAAAAATTTCGTTCTCATGTTAACCTGGTGCTCCATCACATGTCCTTGATATTGTAACTTTAAAGATGAAAAACAATTATTTGCCAATCATGACAACATATCTTTGAAGTATAAAAGGTTTTTAAGAAAGATCCATCTTCGTTTTTACGTCTCTACTGATTTAGCAGCTTATGCATGTCCCAAGATTTTTCACTCATATTTAAGTTACTTGATAAATATAGACTTTAAACACGATAGAGCAAGATTGTTAATGCTTCTAATTCATACATATCACAGGCACTGGCAGCAGCGTCAAAAACTCTTGATTGTCTCAAGTTTGTCCATAGTTTGCATGTATATTTTCTTCTCGTTGGGGATTTTGATTGTAAGTACAATTATTTACGCTGGTTCTTGATGCTTTTATTGCACAGATAGATCTTAATGTTTTTATTGCGCAGATAACTTAATCCCAGATGTAATATCTTCTTGTGTTTACACATATATTTGTTTCTTGTCTTCATCATTGTCATTTCACATAATTCACTTTCAATTAAATAATTTGCATGATAGTGTATATAAAAAAAAAAAAAAAAAAAAATTGCACGGTGGTGGCTGTTGGCGAGAGAATGCCTCATCTTCTCATAAAATTGTAGCATGTGAAGCTTTCAGGATATAAGTGTTTATTACATCCAAGGATGTGTTTCCCTGTGGCATTTAATGATTCATCAGAAGCTGTGCTAGCTGGGTTCCTGGTACTTTATGGATTTGTCAACATTGACTTGAACTCTTGGTTTCATATGCTTCTGTAAACCATAAGATTTGGAAATACACATTCCACATTTGGAGGGTGTGCTTAGTTCTAGAAGCTGCCTGCTTTATTGTTAAAGTTCAATTATTTTCCATATCTATGTGACAAACTTCAGATGGTGTAGAACAATCTTAAATTAGAAGTTGAAACAGACATGATAACCACTCATTGTTTGCTTTTTTAGTGCCAATTATATATCAGGTTCACCGTATGCGTGATGGAAACAGCTTTGCTACCCGGAGAGTGGATGCAATCCAGAAAGGACATGTCATTTTCACATTGCTTGCTTCATTTCAAGTAATTAGAATTCTTGGATGAAAACCATTCAGTAACTTTTTTTTTCGGAAAAATATCAATTCTTACTCATTAACTTATTTTGTTAGTTTCATTATTAATTGCAACTCTGACTATGCTTATGATCACGATAGTAGTATGTAGAATTTTGGCTTATGAATATGGAAGAAAACTTTGCAATATGTTTATTGTTCTTCATACTTGACCTAGAAAAGCATACAAGAGATACAACAGCTAGAAGATATTTATTGAAATACAATTTCCTGGTATTTATTGTACTTTTATGGCATAGACTTGCTAGATGAAGATATTTATGGTAGAATTATTGGAATGATCTTCCAAGTTATGAAGTTTACCAAACCCCTTCGAAAATCTCTGTCACTTAACTTTGAATGAAAACCATGGACTTTTAGGTGATAAAACATTTGTGCAAATAGCAAAAGATATAGAATAATTGGAAGAGGTTTTATAGAAGTCAAAGTGACCAGTTTGAGTAACAGAGTCATAATTATCTGTGGGGAACTCCAAATCAAGTTCCATAAAACCCATCTGAAACTTAGCTTATTATAGGTTCCAACAATACCATATTCCTACAGCATGAAAGTTATTCCAAAACAAATCTAAATCTTGAATTTTATAAATCTTGGAAATAGTAATGAGAGACAATTCTGCTTCATTAGACATTTCTATAGTTTATGCTGCAATTGATTGCCAATACTATAATGGTTTGTTTGCAGAAAGAAGAAGAAGGATTTGACCATCAGATATCAAAAATGCCATCCGTGCCAGCTCCAGATACGGTGACTAAAACTTTACAATCTATATGTATGAAAATTTCCATCAGAGAATTGCTGTTTCGATATTAATATTGATTATATTGTAGCTTCTATCTATGGAAGACTTGCGAGAAAGACGACTTACAAATCCATCGCTTCCTAGGTAAGATTTATCTTTTGTCCATATCAGAAATTCTGTATGGGCTTTTTGATCAGTTAGTTGGAACATTCATGCTCGTTCTTCCTATAACATGTGCTCGAATATCTGAAACTTTTATTATGATATTTGATAATATATTAGGTCATGCAGTGCCCTGGATATGAAAATAATAATTCAATTATTTTGGTGAAATTATGTCTAGTTGGTTTTTTTTTATTAGAGTGTAGGTTAACAAAAGGTCAGCCGTTTATATGGCCAAAATGTCTCTGAACAAGTGACAAGACACTCCTAATCCTCTCTGAACAAGTGATAAAGACACTCCTAATCCTCAGCCCACCAACATTTGTTGAAGCAAGAATCCTTGAATCAAAAAAATTAACTCCTTGTACAAAATTTGAATCAACCCCAAGAGATAAGGTAGAATTAGATTACCTCTTGAGATCAAATATCTAGAAGTAAGATTTGGAATCTTTTTCTAAATTGAGTCACTCCACAATCGAACTTGATTAAGGCTTAGATTGAATGACTCGGATGCAATCCAGCACAAGAATTGCTTGAAATCTTAGAAATGGTAAAGATGATGCTCAAGTTTCTAGGTGGGAAAGTCTCAACTTGAGAGCTCAATTTTATTCATCCAAAATATAATTTTTACATACCAATTTGTGGGTATTTATTAGCCTCCTCACAAAAAAAAAAACTCCACATCCTTCAAATGCCCGCTATAAGGGGTTATGGCCATCATTGGAAAATAACTCCACACTACCCTTCTGTGTCCACTAAAGCTCCAAATCGTCCTTTCTCACTCGAGTTAGCTTGTAACACATGAAATGGAGGCTGAACCGAGCCAATCCAATTTTGTAGATGAAGAATGAATGATTCTTAAATCTTCTTGACTTTGAATCACATAATAAGCCAATTGAAACATTTGGAACACCATGATCCTCATCACCGAGTTCCAACATATAAATAGAATCATATACCGTATTCATTTGGAAGTTCTATTTTTAGGATGATTTGATGGTGGTTGTCGAGGCTAACTTGGTCATAGACTCATATTAAATGTTTATTATGCAAAAATAATTAAGGAAGATGTACTATAGACAGTTTGTCTCAGGTGCGTCTTCTTGTGTCTAATTGCTGATAGTGCCATTTTGGATAAGAACTTGTCTATCGTAGAATGACTTGCATGAACTATCATCCCTACTGTTCAATCAGCTCATGAAACCATTGCTTATATCAGGACTTACCGCAACAAGGTAGCTTCCAGGGTGTTTATTCCTTGGCCAATTGAGATACGGTTTTGTGAGCCAAACAATTCAACAAACCAGACCAAGTCTCCTCCCAGGTAAACTGGCTGCCCTTCTAATATCGATTAATACTTCGTCTATAGCACTTTTCTTGCATTTATAAAAAAATGCCTTGAACTATGTTGCAGTTTGAAGTATTGGTTTAGAGCAAGAGGAAAACTATCTGATGATCAAGCCTTGCATAGGTAAGCAGCTTAATTAGGCAAGTCAAGTTAAGCCTTTTTGAAATTGTGGAGTAGATGCCTCTCAAGTCAGAGAGCCAAATGGCATTTAATTTTGAAATCCTCTTTTATGGGAAGGTTTGAATCAACAATCGAGTATACCTTTCAAACCTCTATAAATGAGGGGTAATTTAAAGTGAGACTTAAAAAATTACTATGACAGAAAGTTCTTGCTTGGTGTGGCAATGACAAAAATTTACCAGAAAAAAATTCCATACGATCTAATGTCGTGTATACGTTGAAAATAATATTGTATGATGTATATTGCTGTGTAGGTGCGTAGTAGCATATGCTTCTGATCTGGTATTTCTTTCAATAAGCTTGAATCCCCATCGTCGGAAGGGTTTGAGGTCGACTTCCGTGAGCTTGGATCACTCGTAAGTATTTGTAATGATATATTTACGATTAAATACCTAAGCCCAAACATCATTAAATATGGAAATTTCTGTTCTACTTCAATGCATATGCTTCTGATCTGGTATATCTGGAATATTGTATATTTCTTTCTTTGGGTGGTCAGGGCTCATATTGTCCACTTGTATTATGCTCTCAGGGGTCCCATCTTGTATTGTACTCTTGACTCCCACTAATCAAACAAGAGGCTTTAAATACCCAAAGAACTAAGCTCGAAAAGCCAACAAGAACTTTAAATTGTTAACTTTTTCACATGAGGGTCTGAATCTGAGACATTGGAGGGAATGTCGAGTGAGATCCCACATTGGTTGAAGAGGGCAACGAGCATTCTTTATAAGGGTGTGAAAACCTCTCTCTACTAAACGCGTTTTAAAACTTTGAGGGGAAGCCCGGAAGGGAAAGCCCAAAGAGGACAATATCTGCTAACAGTGGGCTTGGGCTGTTACAAATGGTATTAGAGCCAGACACTGGGTGTGTGTCAGCGAGGACGCTAAGCCTCTAAGGGGGTGGATTGTGAGATCCCACATTGGTTGGAGAGGGGAACAAACATTTCTTTTAAGGGTGTGGAAACCTCTCCTTAGTAGACGCGTTTTAAAACCTTGAGGGGAAGCCTGAAAAGGAAAGTCTAAAGAGGACAATATCTACTAGTAGTGGGCTGGAGCTGGAGCTGTTATCGGAGTCGAGAGTATAATACAAGATGGGACGGTGAGAAATTGGTTTACAAGGATGCATAATCATCATTTTTAACATTTTCACAAAGGTAGAATAAAACTTTTGCCTCAATTGTCTTCATTTCTGTCCAGGATGTGGTTTCACCGACCTTTAAGAGCTGACGACTGGCTGTTATTTGTAGTAAGTGTAATGAATGAAGTATTCCATTTTCAGTTTTGAATATGCTCAAAATATACTAACAGAATCATAAACAGATACAATCACCTACTGCCTACAATGCTCGCGGTTTCGTTTCGGGTGAAATGTTCAACCAAAAGGGCGAGGTAACGAACCTAACTACCATATTTTCTCCCCTCTTTTTCTCTCTGTTATGTCAGTAACTGAATTGTGCAAATAATGAACAGCTTGTCGTGACGTTGACTCAAGAAGGGCTGCTTCGGAAGGCGAGATCGCCAGAACCCGCTCCAACCTCGAAGTTATGAAGTGTGTCATCGAATGTGGTAGCCTTCAATCTATACACTATTCTACTTTTATCTATATCAATTTTGAAGTCCCAACTTAGTGGGTCAGCCATGGATGGTAGTGGATAGAAGAAGTTCGTAGAAGCCATAAATTTCTCTTTTCATATTAATTTTCCCAATGTGTATTTTTCTAAAATCATTCTAATAATTCATAATAATTTAGAGAAATATACACAAGGATCAAAGTTATGGTATTTCGTGTTTATGTGATGATGTAATATTGTGTCTCCTCTCTCTATTTTATTTTTAGTTCATTTATGTGTTCTTTTTATTATAATTCTTACATCGAGTGGATTCGTGTTTGGATAGTAAAAATGGTAGATTTACTATAATATTACATTTTTAATGAGTCTTAGAAAATTATTTTTAAGTGTTGTTCGAGAATAAATAATCAAAAATATATTTATGAAATTAAATAAAAATAAAATGGATAAAATTAGCTATAAATTGAAGTTGGTTCAATTTATTTAATCTAGTTTTAAGAGATTCCGTATACCATACCAACTGAATCCAATTCTCTACTCGATAGTATTATAAGTCGATAGTATTATAAGTCGTTGTCTTTTACTTACATTCCCACGTAACATCAATTTCAATTTCTCTCTCTTGCTTTCGAAATTCTTTTTCCAAGTTGTCTTTTGCTTACATTCCCACATAACATCAATTTCAATTTCTCTCTGGCTTTCGAAACTCTTTTTCCAAAACCTCTCTTCCCCGCTTTCTAAAATCTTCTCTTGAAATCGAGACTTGAGGTTTGTATTCATGTTGTCCGACAGCAGGCGATGTAACTCGAAGTAGGCTTGACCCACTCAGAGCTGAGAGTGGGTGCAGCACAATCGCCAAATCCACTGCCTAGAAACCATAATTGTGAGAGTCGAGTTAGGTTAATTGGGGTTTTCGGTCATCGAATTTTTTATCATCCCAAAGTCAACTCAATGGTCGTTGGAGGGGTTAGTGTCGAGTGTACCTCTATACCACGATTGGATTCCGATGTTTATGTACTTGTCAGTAAATGTACAACCATTTAAGATATAGAGAAAGGTGCCGTCACGCAATACCACAACATATATTAAGTGCAGAATTGACCCTGCGTTAAGTGCAAGATTATGATTATAATCACAGGAAGCTTATTTTTTGTTCATAAATGATATCGATAATAGCAAGCTGCGTCTGCTGAGATAAGAACAAGGGAATGAGAGGAAAGGGGGAGGTAATAGAAGAAAAACCTCCTAGTTCAACATTTTTCAAGAATATTATACATCAACAAATGCAAAACTAATGTCTTCAATAACCTTATACACAATATGTTATGTTACATATCAGCATTGCAATTCTAAAGAACTAAGCCATTTTCACACCAACACAATGTAAGGCGAGATGTTTTTTATCAGTCAAAAGCAGATATCTCCCATGTTTCCTCGGTCCACTTACCGAAGAATATAAAGGGACCTAGTTGGGTCGGGATAAGAATATAAAGGGACCTAGTTGGGTCGGGATAAAGAGCCGTAAGCGCGGGTGGGTACACATCTAACTAAATAATTGTATTGCACTCAAGATCCCCTTGTAAAGTAATTTGCCACAAAAGTAACTAGTAGGCATACCAGAAGTGAAATTCAGCTAGCTTTTCTCCTTTTGAATGCAGGATGAATGGACCCATTATACGAATCCAAATTGTCAATAGTTGAAATACAGTCTTTCATCCTCTTCAGAACTGCAGGAATCATAGAGATATTACTTGATATTTTATCTTTGAGCAATTGTATCTTCTTTTCTGCTTCTAAACCCTCGTCATGAAGGACTGTTCCTTCACCTCTTGTGATTTGTTGTTCATCATCTGCGTAACAAAATGATTTGTCAGTCAGGACATACAGCTGAGTAAATAAATCCTATATGCATCATCAGAATAACTCTTCATTACCACCAGACACACTAACATTGTCACACAAGTACATCCTTGGAGTAAACTCATGATCGAGTCCAAAAGGTTAATATTTGCTTTTTGAAAAAGATCGTAGGTTGGCGTAATCAATCAGAACATGCACGAATTATCGAAGCGCTCATGAACCGTAAATATAATATAACTAAAGTAGAGATGGCATACAGACTTCTGCAGAACATTGAATTAGAGAATCAAAAGGAACACAAAAGCAGGGGAATGAGCAATCCACCCTAAAAGCTAAAAGCTATTTCGCGAAAAAAGGACCTCGATCAACATAAATACAAGAGGCACTAGAGTCACAAAAATAATAAGATTAAGGGTACACGAAAAAGCTAACCATCTGCCTAAATCCTTGTCTCGAAAAGTCCTAGAATCCGCTGACTCGGAGCTATCATAGGACAGCCGAAATTCGTTAGCTTAGAGTAGAGTAAGAACTTTGACTTTCTTTTTCAACTTGTGATACAATAGCTGCATTAGAATATTTGCTACCGAAAGGAATAACTACTGAAGTCGATACACTCACCCCGAAACAGCAAGAACAACCTACCTAGTGAAACACTAGCTGAACTTAATTGTGTAATTTTCAGAATTGGCCAATAAGATCCACAAGTAGTGATGAGTTACAGCCTTACTAAACTCACTTGAAACATAGATTGTAAACGTAACATATTGAAGTATCATCACAATCAACAATTTTTTTGCAATTGTCAACGATTATATAAACTGCAACCAACAGAAGGACAAGACAGAAGGACATGAAACAGAAATACAGTTTGGAACACTACAGGAAAAGAACAAGAAAAACTGAATAAAAAGATTAAATATAATTATATCAATGAGCTTCTCATATGAGATGAAATCGATAAATGAAAGACCCGATTGAAATGACTTTCTAAGTACTTAAAAAATATGCACACGAACCAGTTCACTACAGTTCACTAGTCCTAAAATAGTCCTTCTAAATCTTAAGCTGAATGCTCCAGAAAGGCATTCTCAAAAACTACCGTTGGATACATAAATTTAGCTCAAAAGCCAACAAAATAGGAGTATTTGAACTTAATCCCCCCATCCTGAACCAGAATTGCAAATCAAATCAGTGAGAAGAACAGGTAGCAATTCCAGATCAAAAAAATTAGAACTAATTGTATTCCATTCGCCCTAATTAAACACTTCAAAGAGCGTTTAAAAACCAACCCGTTGGCACAGAATTCCCAAACAGCAAACTCATTCACTTCAAAGAAGCATATACCTAATAGAACAACATAATTTCAGATTTCTTTCAATTCATTTTCACAGAGAAAATCTACAAGTTCGGAGAAAGAAAGAAAACACAACCCACCTTCATGATTCGGAGGAACAGATATTCCCGGCTCCGAGGGTCCGAAGGCAACAGGCCTCGCGGACTCGAGTAACGAAATGAAGGAGGACTTTAGTTGAGCAGAGAGAGTGGATCTGTAGTGAAGAATCCTCTGAGCCATTTGGTTTACTTCAAGCTCGAGCTCCTCAAGCTCAGAATCGGGCTCCATTTCTTCGGATTCAAATCCAGAAACCCCGGTGTCTTCACCGGGTTTGTCGAAGGACATGTTTCAGTTTACATCCACAGGCAGTTTCTACAGAAGTAGGATTGAAAGATCAGAGCAACGAAATTCAGTTGTGTTCGAAACGAATGCGAATCTTGGGGTTTCGGAGGGCAATGGATTTCGAAATTTGAATGTTCAACGTGTGAAATCGACTGCAAGAGAAGAGAGAGAGAGAGAGAGAGAGAGAGAGGGCGTGCAGCCCGAGCCGACCAGTCGGGTCTTAAAGCTTGATTGGGCACCCGCCAAGACTATAAATGATGAAGCTTGAACATGACCCATTGGGCCTAGTCGGCCTATCTTAAGCCCAGCCCACAGTTATTTTTTATTTTTTATTTTTTTTTATTTTGCATATTCATTATTCCATTTAAATGTCTAAAACTATATTCTACCTTCAATATCCCTTAACCAATTAAACTATATTCTATATTCTAACTTTTTATCATCTAAAATTAGAATTATTACCGAACATTGATTTTGAAGCATTATTGGCCTTTAGTTTCTTTAATTTGAATACAAATTGGTTACTGTTTTGAAAATCATTTCAAACTGATAATTTATACAATTTTAATCATCCATTTCACTAAAAACTTCATCCTAGAATGACGAACACATCAACGGAGGAATGAATCAATCTTTATTTCAACACATGTTATTTATCTATTAAATATAGAAAGAAAAAAAAACATTAATTAGTTAGTGTAAATATAACTAAGAAATTATGACATCAACACCCTCCCTTATGAGTATGAAGGTCATATCTACCCCATATCTTTAAGAAAAGGTTGAAAAAATTTGTAAATGTCTTCCGTTTTGGCCAACATTTCGTTCCTTTCATATTCAATGCCAAGAATGTCACCAAATCCAAATTGTCTCAAGCATTCCACAAAGTTGATCCACAAGTTTTTTTTTTTTTTTTTTGGGCAGAAAAAAACAAAGCACGCACTTAAATAAAAAGAACGACCCCCTACCCGATAGTTATATGCTGTAAGCCATTATTGTTGCATTTTTGCTTACATCACATATAACACCAATTTCAATCTCTCAAATCTTTCTTTCAAAACTCTCTTTCGAAATTTCTCTACCCCTTTTCTAAAACTTTCTTCTTAAACCGGAGTCAGAAACTCAAGCATACATCACTTGGCCGTAAGCGACACAAGAATGAATTGACTAAACTCAAGGAAGTGAGTGTCGCACAATTGCGAAGATAAAACATCCCCATACATGCCAAGGAGGTTTAAAAAACCTACTCCATTTGGCACTAAGAATGACTACAAATAGAATTTTATACTTTCCCTTCGTTAACTCGAGAATACCTCAATCAATAAGGTACCAATTACTATCTCATAAGTCATCAATGGTTCAATCCCCACTCATGGTTCTACCAAAGTTTAATCTCTTCTTCAAAAGAAGAAAGTTTTTCATAAAAGAAAACATTGTTCGAAAGAAATTTCTTCTTTCCTTCAGAAGTATTCCTGCACAAAGATCGAAAAAGAGTCTACTTGATTGTTCTTCGGAAGCACCATTGAATTCCAAATATGCGTAGAGAAAAATTATATTCAGAAAAAATAAGTGTTCTAAAGTTTCTCTCTTAACTTTTGCTAAGGGTGCACCAGCAGCTAGGGAGATATTCAAATTTGATTAAAACTCCCAAATCAGATCATCTCTCTCACTAAGCACTCCCTATACTTTCATACGAAGCTCTGAAGTTAATTTACTAAATGAATTTGGCAATACCCAAT